CTTAAAGGTCTAACCCCGTGGATTGTATCAGCTTCACTGTGTTGCTTTATGGTATGACTGCAGTTGTTATTGCCATATGAACCCTCTTAAAGGCATTTTATCGTGGGTTGTATCAGATTTTTGTCATGTCATGTATTACTTCCGATGTTATTGCCATAAAAACACTCTAAAAGGTCTTTTACCGTTGGTTGTGTCATCTTGACGGTGTTTCCTGAGCCTATGACCGCCGGTGTTATTACCATAAGAACCCTCAAAACGGCCTATACCCGTTGATTGAGTTGCCTGAGGCTTTGACCTCCTGTTTTTTGCCAAAAAAACATTCGAAAAGGTCTATCACCGTGGGTTGTGTCACTTTGACTGTTTTCCTGATGCTTTGACCGTCGGTTTTATTGCCATAAGAACACCCGAAAAGTTCTCTCACCTTGGACTGTATCAGCTTGACTATGTTGCCTCATGCTATGGCTGCCGTTGCCTTTTTCATAAAAACCCTCTAAAATTCCTATCGCCGAGGGTTGTGTCAGCTTGATTTAGTTGCCTGAGGCTATGACAGCAAGTCTTTTTCCCATTAGATCACTCTAAAAGGTCTATAACTGTGGATTGCGCCAGGTTGACTGTGATGCCTCATACTATGACCGCCGGTTTAATTTTCCTTAAGCACTCTGAAAGGTATATTTCCGTGGTTTGTGTCAGCTTGACTGTGTTGCCTAAGGCTATGACCGCCAGTTTTATTGCCATAAGAACACTCTAAAAGGTATATCACTCTCAATTGTGTCAGTTTGACTGAATTGCCTGATGCCATGACCGCCGGTTTTATTGCCATAAGAAGTCTCTAAAAAGTATAGCGCCTTGGGCTGTGTCCGCTTGACTTTGTTGCCTGATGCTATGACTGCCGTTGTTATTACCATAAGAACCCTCATAAAGGCCTATCACCGTGAGTTGTGTCAGATTATTTTGTGTCGCCAAATGGTATCACTGCCTGTGCTATTTCCATAAAAACACTCTAAAAGGTTTATTACCGTGGGTTGTGTCAGCTTGGCTATGTTGCCTGAGCATATCGATGCCGATGAGATTGCCATAAGGACCCTCAAAATCACCTCGGATTGTGTCAGCTGGATTGAGTTGCCTGAGTCTATGAGCGGCGGTTTTATTGACATTTGAACACTCTAATAGGCCTACCACCGTGGTTTGTAACAGCTTTACTGTGTTGCCTAATGCTATGACTGCCGTTCTTATTGCCATAAGGCCCATAAAAGGCCTATCACTGTGGGTTGTGTCAGATTTGTTTGTGTTACCTAAGGGTATCACTGCCGGTGTTATTGTCATAAAAACACTCTAAAAGGCCTATCACCGTGGGTTGTGTCAGCTTGGCTGTGTTGCTCGAGCCTATGGCAGTTGGTGGAATTCCAATCAGCACCCTAAAAACGGCCTATCTCCGTCACACCGTATTACCGGCGCCAGTGATGGCAGTTCACTGCAGTGATGGCAGATAGCTGAAATTTACCGCTCAGTACAGGTAGGTTATAAATTTGGTTGGTATTATTATATTACACAAATACGGCCCATTTCATTGCTATGAAACTATTGTCCATTGACTGGAGATACTTCTCGTATTAGGTAATTTTGGACTCGTTTTTTTCTGTTTTAAGACTATTTTGAGCAGGTTTAAAGTGACATCTTCGGAAAAATCCGTGAAAATGTCTGTTTTTTCTTCAAAATATCTCAAGTTTTAACTAAATGGCAGGATTTCGTGTTATTAATATAGACGTTCATCCATTTGGGTCACGCAAGCCAAATATCTACCCCGTGAGTCTTTTCTTGAAAGTTTTACAGACGTTCAATCTGGTCCGGTCGAAGAAAAAATGCTGCCGTTGTAGGCCTGATGCTATGACTGCCGTTGTTATTGCCATAAGAACCCATGTAATTGCCTATCACCGTGGACTGTGTCAGCTTGATTGTGTTGCATGAGGCTATGACCGCCGGTTTTATTTGCCATGATGACACTTTAAAAGGTATATCACCGTAGGTTTTGTCAGGTTGACTGTGTTGCCTGAGGCTATAGCTGCCTGTTTTGTTGATATACGAACACTCTAAAAGGCCTCAATCTACTATGGATTGTGTCAGTTCGATTCAGTTCTCTGATGCTATGACCGCCTGTCTAATTGCAATAATAACCCTCTAGAAGGTCTATCACCGTGGGTTGTGTCAGATTAGCTGTGTTGCCCTGAGCCTATGACCGCCGATGTAATTGTCATAAGGACCCTTAAAAAGAGCGTGTAACCGTTGAATGTGTTAGCTACAATGACTTGCCTGAGGCTATGACCGCCGGTTTAATTGCTTTAGGGAAACTGTAAGAGGTTTATCACCGTGGGTTGTGTCAACTTGAGTTTCCTGAGGCTACGACCGCCTGTTTTATTGTCATTAGCACCCTCTAAAAGGCCTATCACCGTTGGCTGTGTCAGCTTGATTGAGTTGCCTGAGCCTATGTCCGCCTGTGTAACTGACATCAGGATCCTTAAAAGGCCTATTACCGTGGAATTTGTCAGCTTGATTGAGTTTCCTGAGGCTAAGACGGCCCGTTTTATTGCCATTTGAACATTTTAAAAGGGTATCACCGTGGTTTGTGTCAGCTTGACTGTATTGTCTGATGCTATGATCGCCGATGTTATTGCCATAAGAACACTCTAAAAGGTCTATCACTGTGGGTTGTGTCAGCTTGACTATGTTGTCTCAGCCTATGGACGCCTGTGTAATTGACAAAAACACCCTCAAAACGACCTATGAACGTGGGTTGTGTCAGCTTGACTGAGTTGGCTGAGTCTTTGACCGCCGGTTTCATTGCCATAAGAACACTCTAAAAGGTCTATCACCGTGGATTGTGTAAGCTTGACTGTGATACCAGATGCTATGACCGCCAGTTTTATTGCCATAAGAACATTCTTAAAGGCCTAACACTGTGGGCCGTGTCAGCTTGATTGATTAACATAAGTCTATAACCGCCAGTTTCATTGCCATCAGAACATTCTAAAAGGTATATCACCATGAATTGTGTCAGGTTGACTGTGTTGCCTGATGCTATGACCGCCAGTTTTATTGCCATAAGAACCCTCTAAAAGGCCTGTCACCGTGGAATGTGCCAACTTGACTGTGTTGCCTGATGCTATGCCTGTCGTTGTTTTTGGCCATAACAACACTCTAAAAGTCCTTTCATCGTGGTTTGTGTTAGCTTAACTGAGTAACAAGAGGCTATGGCCGCCGGTTTATTGTCATAAGAACACTTTTAAAAGTCTATCATCTTGGGTTGTGTCAACTTGACTGTGTTGCCTCAGGCTATGTCCACCAAGTTTATTGCAATAAAAACACTCAAAATGGTCTATCACCCATGATTGTGTCAGCTTGACTCTCTTCTCTGATGCTATGACCGCAGGTTTTATTTTCATAAGAACCCTCTAAGAGGCATATCACCGTGGGTTGTGTCAGCTAGAATGACTTGCCTGAGGCTTTGACAGCCGGTTTGATTGCTATAGGAACACTGTAAAAGGTCTATCACCGTTGGTTGTGTAAGCTTGGCTGTGTTGCTTGAGCCTATGACCGCCAGTTTTATTGTCATAACAACACTCTAAAAGGCCTATCACACTGGATTGTGTGAGCTTGCCTGTGATGCATGGCGCTTTGACCGCCGGTTTTATTATCATAAGAACCCTCTAAAAGGTCTATCACCGTGGGTTGTGTCAACTTCATTGAGTATCCTGAGGCTATGACCGCCGGTTTTGATGTCATTAGAACATTCTAAAAGGTTTATCACCTTAAGTTGTGTCAGCTTGAATGTATTGCTTGATGTTATGATCGCCGGTTTTATTGCAATAAGAACCCTGTAAAAGGTTTATCACCGTGGGTTGTGTCAGATGTTTGTGTTGCCTGACGGTTTCACTGGCGGCATGGCCGAGTGGTTAACGCTTCGGACTAGTAATCTAATGATCGCTAGCCGCTTTGGTTCAAACCCTGACAAGGGCAATATGTTGTTTTCTTGAGCAAGAAACTTTACGCTCATTGTTAAGTACTGGTTTGTTCCAGGAACGGATTCGAAAGTCGAACTAAAATAAATTTTGTATAAACCAACAGTGAGTGATACAACAGATTACGTACATACATAGGAAAATTTGGTCGTACCGAATCTTGCCTTATCCTCTCGATGCACCTTTCACATTAAAGATCCTATAACACAGATTTTTTATGGTTTTATATTATAAATATGATGCTCAAATTAAGATTTATCAATTTTGTAAGTTCCAAAAAGCATTTTTTATAAATATATAACCGAATTTAACATTTCATGCTAATAAAGGGAGGTAATAAAGTTTAAGTCAAATTTTTCAATAAGAAATGAATGCATATATTTTTATGATTACATATATGTACAAGTATTTGCAGTACATATTTTACATATTCTCCGGTGTTTGAAAATTCTTTTATAAACATAATTATATACATATATATAATTTCACTTCAGTGTGGTATACAACCTCAATTACAACATACAGGATCTTTAACTTTGTTTTGTCATTAGATTGTTTTTACAAATGGCAGTTTAAAGCCTCTATTGCTGATAAATATGGTGGCTGATTTGTGCCATTCGTGTTTTCGCCCCGCGACCCCGCAAGGCGAAAAGTCGAAAATTAACAATTTAAAATGGCGGGAGCGCGGAGCGAAAACATGCTGATTAGCGAGGGCACGGGGCGAAGTTTAATAAATAAAACAGTTTTATATTTTCAACTGCGCCCTCGCTAATAAGCGACATTTAACGGTAATATTGTGACAAATAACGGTAGGGAAAATGGCGCGGCATTTAACGTCATCATTGCGACATTTAATGGTAAAATTATTTTGAGACATAAAGGGGCGATTGCGATCTTTAGCGGCAATAGTGCGACATTTAGCGGCAAGTACGACATTTTACGTACTTGCCGTATAACGGCACCACACGCATTCTTATTATGACGTTTTCTTATGACGTCAATATACGTAACAAAGTAACATCGTTGACACGGAAACACAGTAACGTCAGTTAAGATCGAAAGGAGACGGAGAGAGAAAGAGGTGCTGCAGCTGAAGTACTGAAAACAAACATAGCTTCAGATTTATCTGGTATGCTTTAGTTTTATTATGTTGTTTGTTGTTGTTGTTTGTTGTTGTTGTTTTTGTTTGTTTGTTTTTTTGTTGTTGTTGTTTTAGTTCGTAACTTCATGCGAACTGGTATAGGTTTGTCTTTTGACAAGTTAATCAGATAGATTCTTCTCAGGCGAAAATGTAATGCGATATGTAATACATGGGGATATCGGTATAGTTTTCGTTCGTCGCTTTATTTGTTTAATCATCTATTTTATCTATGTAGGTAGTGTTTATGTTTTTGATCTAATAGTAACATACTTCCGTTTTCCAAAATAAGGTTGCATCATAATTAGTGCAGACACTGAGTTTATATCGTTACCTGACATAATAAGATGTTAATTTAGATGAAATGTGTATACTTTTTCAGGGGAATTGATGTCATACACTATTTTATACGTTAATGCTTAGGCATACCAGTACACATTTCGCGGAATATTGTTACATCATAAATATAACGGCCACTGAGTCGTTTTCATTATGCTTCAACCCCCCCCCCCAACACACACAAAAGTCTCAGACGTTAAATAGAAATGAAAATTTATATCTTTCAATAAAATAACATATAATTATTATTTGAATATAAAATTTTGGGTGATCCATGTAATTTTTTAGTCTTCATCTTCAGCGGTATATTGATTTAATGTACCGATACGTATAGAATTATACCTGTGAAGTAAACAGCGGCAAATCAGGTGAAAACTCATTGCTTCAAATCGGGGACTAACGCCCCAAACCCCCTGTCCCCACTCTTCCTACAACGGCCCCCACTTGAAAATGGCGTACCGGTAAATTGCATTAATTCGAAATCATCGTGTATTATTATTATCAGCGTTTATTATTATTATATTTGTTATAATTATTATTATTATTATTATTATTATTATTATTAATATTAATATTATTATTATTATTAGCATTATTATTATTATTATAATTATTATTATTATTATTATTAGCATTATTATTATTATTATCATCATCATCATCATTCATCATCACCATCATCATCATTATTATTATCATTATCATCATCATCATTATTGTGGTTGTTGTTGTTTTTGTCCTATTTTTGTGTTGGATTCATAACCTTCAAACATTGATTGCATCATAACTAGTTAGTCATTATAATATATTCATTGTCTGACATAATAAGATGTCATTGGAGATGCAAATCACTAGTATATATACAGCCATTCCCGGAAAGATATCTATATTCAACAATTTCATTGTTTAAATGCAGGCATGTCACAAGAATGTCATTTTGAAACGAGCAGATGGTTTGTCTTAATAAAGGCTATCATATTTCAACTCCACTTAAGTTTTGTATTTTATTCTAAATAAGAATTTTCCTAAAACTAGAAGATGGGTCATTGACTGTTTAAACGGGTAAATTCTTTGTCATGTAAACTATGAATCATTTACGAGAAAGAAGTCTTATTATATCGGTTACTAGGTTTTCCTTTTATAATATACTTTAAATACATTTTGTTGAAGTGAAAAGTATGGTAGCCGGTTGCGGCCATTTTAAACCCGCGAGATTTTTTTTACGTTTTGTCAATAATTGTCGCGTGAAGCTTACAAACCGCGTAACAGCAATTTTTAATCTTGACTTTTATCGTTACCCGCGACATTTTATAAACTGACGGTAATATTTCTCGCGGTTTTAACATGGACACTACCGGCCACCATACAAAAGTATGAAAAAGCATGATATATCACCTTTCAATGTTAAAATATAAATCAAAATGATAAACACAATAATTACTAAAATTTAAAATTAATACAATTATAATATACTCGTATATAAAAACTCCTTTCAAGAATTATTCAATAAGACGTAAATGTAAATTTATATGCTAATAATCGATTAATGTAACAAGAACAATATCTACAAGATTGATGTGTCATAAATTTCTTTGAAAGTCAAAAGTTTAAATACTTCTGAGCTGTTGTTTTTTGTTTTGTTTTTTTTAACTTGCGAGATAAAAGAAATATTTTCATCTGGCTGAAATGTGCGCATTTCCGCATGCGCATGAGGACTTATTATCCTCGCGCTAAGAAATTATATACATGTAGATATCCACGCAATGATTCATATACATATGTAACACTTTTTTGTTACCTGGCTATTAAATGGGCCAAGTAAAAGAATTGCTGCACCTACTTTCGTTTGTAAGATTAGTTTAAATCTTGATAGTTTAAATAATATATCGTCTTTACCCGGAAAAAAGGTATAACTATTTGAAATACACGTGAAAAAATAAATTTCGATATTCACTGGGACACTAGTCATTGGTACCTGAAATTTGATATGAAAAACATTTTAAATACAGTATAAATGCATTTAGATCTTATTTCGATTTGATTTTCTTTGTAGATGGATGTTTGTTGTCGTACTTTACTGCATGCACCGCACGTGACGACTTGAAGCCATCTTCAATTCTTTGGTAGGTAATATTTTTTTCTTTTTATATATGAATTTAACGCAGATTTTTATATTTTCTAGACTGTATATTAAAAGGGTGTATCAAATAACCGTGCTGATTTTGCGGCTCCGTCAATATGGTATTTCACGGCGTGCATATATTTTGATTGTAAAGACGCGGTTGCTAGCGTTATACATGCGTCAATGAAAACTTTAAACAATCGATAGATAGAATTATGGAACGCCGTGACTGTCTTATGCTATCAATGTTTTTGCTATCTTGTGAAATGATGATATTATTTTGTCATTTAAGCATATTAACATGTGCAATTTACATCAAAACTTGTCTAAAGACAAATGCTGACTTGTTCAAACACGCATGTTAGCTTGTCGAATAATCATTATGACATGTGCAGACAAACATGTTAACTAGTCAAAAGTATCATGATGACTTGTGCAAACGACATGTTAACTTGTCAAAATATCATGATGACTTGTGTAAACAACGTGTTAACTTGTCAAAATTTCATGATGACATGTGCAAACAGCATGTTAACTTTATTGTTATGACATACGGAAGCTTGTATGTACCCCCGCTATGAAGACATGAAGTCGTCTCCCTCGACTTATAGAACACAACAAGTTGTCAAAATTACGACGACAAGTTTATATATACCATGTCATTTTGACAAAGTATATGTCATCAGTCGCGGATACGGTATCCCCGACTTTCATACGTTAATATATTTGTCGACTAGAAAATAAGCATGGATAGTAGACATTCATGTTATTCAAGTCGACAAATTTATTTATGTAAGAAAGTCGGGGATGCCGTACATCTCGACATAAATGACATATATTTTGTCAAAATGACATGGGTATATATAAGAACTTGTCGTCGTAATTTTGACGACTTGTTGTGTTCTATAAGTCGAGGGAGACGACTTCATGTCTTCATAGCGGGGGTACATACAAGCTTCCGTAATGACATGCACTCATAATACCTTAACAAGTTAACATGTGTTTTGCACAAGTCATCACGATTTTTTGACAAATTAAACATGTGTCTGCACAAGTCATCATGATAATTTGACAAGTTTAACATGTCGTTTGCACAAGTCATCATGATATTTTTGACAAGTTAACATGCATTTGCACATGTTATCAACACGATACCTTGACAAGTTAACATGTGTTTGCACATTGTCATCATGAAATTTTGACAAGTTAACATGATAGCTTGGACAAGTTTAGCATGTTGTTTGCACATGTTATCACGAATGATTGACAAGGGTTATCATACTGTTTGTCACGTGTCATCATGAAATTTTTGACAAGTTAGCATGGGCATTGCACAATATCCATCATTATACTTGGACAAGTAACATGTCGTTGCACAAGTCATTCATGACATTTTGACAAGTTAAACATGCTGTTTTGCCATGTCATCATGGAATTTTTACATGTTTTTGCATGGCATTTGCACAATTATCATAATACTTTGACAAGTTAACAAAGTACGTTTTGACATGTCAGCATGATACAAGATAACATGTCATTTGCACAAGTCATCACGATTCTTTGACAAGTTCACATGTTGTTTCAACAAGTCATCATGGTTATTTTTGACATGTTAACACGCCTGTTTGCACAATCAATCATGATACTTTGACAAGTTAACATGCTGTTTGCACATGTCATCACGATAATCGACAATTAACATGTCGTTTGCACAAGTATCATTACTTTTTGACAATTTAACCCCATTTCTTTTGGCAAAAAGTCATCATTATCCCTTTGAAAAATTACCAGTCATTTCACAATTATCTTTAAACCCTTTGAAAATTTTTCCCATTCTTTGGGGCACAAGCATCCCCAAAAACTTTGACAATTTTAGCTTTGGGTCGACATTTTCATCAAATAATTTGCCCAATTAAAACATGCTTTTTTGAAAATGTGACCATGTTCCTTTGACAAGACATGTTTTAAACTGCCCCATTTAACATGCTAAATAACAAAAAAAATATCATCTTTTCCCCAAATAACAAAAACAGGAACAAAGACAGTCCCCGGCTTCCCATATAAATTTTTAAATATTCTTTTATTTTCATTTGAATTTTTTTTAACTGGTTTGAATAAAATAAAAAGTTTCTCCCAGGGGCTCGCAATTTTAATTTTAAATTAACTCGTTCAAAAAAATTTCCAAAAATTTAACCCACACTTTTCAATATCACCTATATAGAGAAATGTTATAATCGCCATGTAGCAGGCTTTCAGACAAAATGGACGAGTTTTTTATGAAATGCAACGGATAATAGAAAGCCCCACCCACGGGGAATAGCCAAGAACATGTGCCATGATTTTAACCCTTCGTCTGTTCCCGGACTGCGGTCACAATGCGGTGGTTTCATTTTGGCGTTAAATAGAAATGGTCGAGCATTGACGGGACATTTACACCATCTGACTGGTATCGCACAACAGGACTTTTTGCTTGGGTTTTAGCAATCCAAAAGTCCCCGAGGGTGTGTTGGGGAATGGGGGCTGGTATATAAATCTGTACCTGTATAAGATGACAACGGATGAACAAGATAATTTTACTACATGATATAATAGAGCAAAAAAGGGGAGATATCATTAGGAGTTGTGCCATTTTTATGATGATATGTATGCGTCAAGAATATCAAAAATATGTAATGATGAACGTTAGGGCTTAATCAGGCACTTATGCAATGATGACGTACAATGCAATCATTATCATTGTTGTTATTACCGTTGCTGTTGTTGTTGATGTTGTTGTTGTAATCATTGTTGTTTTGGCTAACGATAGCCCAAATACATTGTACAATAATCCACACATTCCCGAACACTCTTTAATGTACACAGCAATTGTTGTGACCTCAAATGACGTCATATTGGTTCGAAAGTACCATTTATCCCGTTAACATTTACTCCGGACCAATTGCGTAATACAATTATACATGTATAATATTCCTCTATTCCGATATTGATCACGTACAATAACGGTACGGTTCACAGTGTCAGTTACAGCTTTTATTACTTATCTGTTACTGTGCAACGATACTTTAAATGGGTACAATTTTACGTGCATTTAGTATGTAAAGTAAGTTTGGCAGCGGTAAAATTTTTAAATGATTTTTTGAATTTTATATATTAGTCACATGCCTAATTAATACTGCCAGTCCTCTTTAACCCTTTCCCCCATGAGCATATTGTGAAAAATGGCCGTTTTCACTGAAAAGCCTCCTGTTACAAGTTCAAACTGCTATGAACTATGAAAAATGCTTCAATACTAATCAAACTTGGCACAAATTTTGACTGGACCATTGCCTTTGTAACGACATGCCTCAGTCCTAAATTCCTGTTACCATGGCAACGAGGAGAGCATCTTCAAATTTGCCAAAAATCACTATTTTGCCTCGATTTTTTTCCATCAAAATTTATTCAAAGCTGCTGCAACTTCTCAAGGATTGAGATAAAGTTCAAAGGCTTTTCAGCGTTGGTTACACGTTACATTATGATCGACCTGGGGTCATTTTTAGCCTCTCACAAGTCCAAAATTTTCTTGGCGATGAGGGGGACTCCGCCCCCCTTCAAACCCCCCTAACATATTTGACATTCACTATTTGAGGCCTAAAAAAGGGGGGGGGCGAAAGTGCGGTGTTTCGCGTATATATGAGGTAAAGGGTTAAATACCGGTCTTGACGAAAAAGGTCCAGCTATTGAAGATATGCGGTCTCTCAAATAAAGCTATTTTTGCGATATGATACCGGCACTCTCTTAAGTATAAATAAAAAACAGGGGCCTTGATTAAATGTTTATTTTAAATATGTATATAATTTGGTCTTTAAATAAGGCACATCTTAGATTCGATTTTGTTTATGCAATATAATAATGTTAAAGGTACAAATGTATTATTTGTGCTACACCTCTACAAAAGACAGGGACCTCGGTTAAAGGTTTATTTCTAAATATGTATTTAAGGTGGTCTTTAAATAAGGTCCATCTATAGATTTGATTTTGTTATGCAATATATGTTAAAAGTACAAATGTATTATTTGTCTGCACCTCTACTCATATCTTTTTTTTATCATGTATTATTAAAATGAGGGAAATTAAATGATATTTTGTGGTTGAGGACTGTGCTTTAACCACTCACCTTATATTCCGTTAAAATTTCCTGCTGTTGCATTTATATCTCTGCAGAGTGCATACCCATTCAATACACGGAAACTGATGCGGTTATTTATTTTCCTGCGTCGGTATCTTCCGATCGATAACTAACCGTTACATATTAAACAATAATACCTGACTGATTATCTGGTCAGTGTCATCAATTAATAAGTACATTGAGGTGTAAGCACGTGCAATAAACAGGCGGGCAATTAAAGCTAGATTCCCAGGCGGACTTTACTCTTGTGGTATATCACGGATATAATAACAACGTGCATTTCTGAATTAGAGGTATGATTTTTTTTCTAAATTTGTTCGGAATTAAACTAGAGATACATGTACAGTTCAAATGAGATATTTTTGTTGATAAAAATAGTAATTAAAAAGGTCTGTTACTCATAACAGATCGATCTTTTTAATATTTTAAAATGTTATTATTATAAAAAATATTTGAAATATTTGCATATCATATGTTGATTCGTGAAGTATTTTAATGGTTTCTTTTATTCCCTCGCTCCCGATGATATTATTTTTCCTTTTTATCCAAGAATGTATATTACAAACTTCGAAATCACGTGTCATTTACATTGTTTTATTTATCTAGGCCGTGTAAAATGTTCTCTTTAAAAAAAGGTATACAATATTGTCTGAGGGAAAAATAAAACACAGACAAAAGACTAGAATTCGTGTGCCCATGTCAAATATGCGACTATTTGACGAGAAAATAACACATATTAACTTAAGGACTACTTCAACTATCCCCACCCCAGATTTTTTTTACATTTTTGTATTTTATGACTGAATATAATGAAATTTACAGGCATCACGTAT